TAGGCTTGTATTACACATCAGAAAGCTCGGTGTAGTTTAAGAATAGTGTTTTATTGTTGCAAAATTACCCCACTTTTTAATCTTTAGACGTAGGCCTATTTGGGGGGAAACGCAGAGACATGGCCTTGGTTTTGAACTGGCGACAGTGGAACGCACCTGGCGCCATCTTGCGTCAGCGTCAGGTAACTGTAAAATTCGACGTCACCTTTTTGCCCTGTGAATATGAGGTGAGACTAAAAGTTTTTATGATAAAGCAGTTTGGTAATTTGTTGTCAACCATAAAGATAATTAGATTAACATTTACCCTTATCTTTGTATAGTGAAGCAACAGTTTTTGTTTTAGTGTCAAACAAAAAACAGATTTCGACCTCTATTTCTAATATTTATTTATTTTGACGCCTGTCTCTTTCTATCTTTTTTGCTACTTAATTAGAATGTATTATTATTTTGAATTTATTATGACCATTTATATTTTTACTCTTTATTATTATATTGTGATGTGTGAGCTGCTGTGTCCAAGTAATTTCCCTTGTGGGTCAATAAAGTTTGTCTAAGTCTAAAGTTTATTTCAAATAAACACCAATCAAAAAACAGTCATCGTGACTGTTTCAAACTATTTTCGCGTTTTATTGTTTTTCATTCTAAATTGAAAAGAAGAAAATTTAAAAGAACTGACCTATTTTGTTAACTTATTTAATGCTTCCAGAGCCTGTGTGCAGTATGTACATTTTCTGGTGGACAGTGCACTTGTTTATCTCTATGGAAATTTTAATACTGTTCTTGGTATATTCCACAGCATAGTATTAAAGATGCACTATGTAATTTTTGGTCACCACCGTCCATTTGTTTCTATGGATTTGTCATTGCTCTGCCTGGATTGTTCCACAGTGTGAACTTAAACAGCTCTACTTTACATTTATTCAATTACAGGTGGTTTTAAAACATAACTCCAAAAAAAAAAAAAAAAAATGCATTCTGACTGTGAGCGGGGTTTGCTTCCTCGCAGATCTGACCAGTAACTTGGTCCGGTTTGCTTTCCATGAAGATAAAGGTTGAATTCAAGACAAAGAAAGGAGAAAAGCATTTGACAGACCTTCCACCAGAAAAGTTACGGCACAAAATTCACCTTTAAACTTTTCTATGTCCATGGAAAAAAGCAGGTAACACGACCAAACAAACAGGATCCAGGTTAGATTTGTAGAAGGGTGAGAATGGATTTCATAATATTTTTTTTTAGCAATTTCAAAACACTGCTAATTGAATAAATGTTTAATGCCATATCGTGGAACCCTCCATCCAATAACATCTCCAGAGACCAGCAGATGAAGCTAAAGTGCACCTTTAAACAGAACCCGGACATGAACTGCAAAAATGTTTTATACTTTAGAGTACTACGAGTGATACACAAATCAAACCTTGAGAACCGCTGTTGTACATTTAGTAGCTACATACAAACCTACACAAACTGAACACACTTATAAGCAATGCCATAATTTTCCCTACACATTCCTTGAGTTGAAACTAAACATGTAAAAATATGTGCACCCAGCGAATGCCCTGAACCTGCTGTATATATCTCGCCCAAACAGAGGCTGCTGCGTGTGTGAGCTAACCCCATATTAGCACTGTATTTCCATGTTGCAGTAGTAACAGGATTACTTAGTGACAAACGGTAATTTGCAGAATCCCTTCATTTCAGTGGCAGGATTTTTTTACTCCTGTGTTCCTTGTCTTGTACATTATTTAAGAACATCCAAATGCATTCTTCCCTGGAGGTTTGGGTTGCTTCAGGTTTCCCAGCATGCACCTCTGTGAGCAGCCAGATAAAGGAGAGAGCCACATCAAAATGCAGAAGAGAAAGGGTAATTACAGGAAATATGGGAACTGGCCACTTTATCTGGTGCGCTTCTTGGTTTGGCTACTTTTTGAACGGAACAGTGGCAGAGTGGTTAACACGAGAGGGTTCAGGGTTAGATTCCTTTTATAGACTTGGTGGGGGGAGCTCACATTTACCATGTCTTCCCTGTTTCCTCCATCAACATAAAACATATTGCAATTATTGTTTTGGAGATATGCAAAATCAGATTATTGGCAGTATAACATTTAAAAAAAACTATTACAAAAGCAGTTAAAAAAAAAAAAAAAAACAACTTGCGTATTCATTCAAATGACAGTATAAAGTGATATATATATATATTTTTATATAGTACATTCTAGTTTAGTTATACATATATAAAGGTGCACTTGCTTGTCTCCATGGAAATATTATTGCTTTGCCTAAAATGTTCCACAGTATAGATTAAACCAATATCTAACACAAGGGAGACAACACGGTTACAGCACTGTGCTACCTTACTATTCAGATCTGTGGAGAGTCACCCCTATTCACAGAAGGAGTTATTGTATTTTTGAGCAATAGAAATACCCATAATGAATGAAAGCATGATGGATATGTTTAATGTCATACTATGGGATATTCCAGGCAAAGCAATAACATTTCCATGGTGACAAAGAGGTGGCGGACCCTCTAGAAATGTTACGCAGAGCACCTTTTAGATTAGATATAACTAAACTAGAATGTACTATAAAAAAGAGCAAAACACTTTATATCAGAGGTGGTGGACCAAATTATTGTTTGTTTTGTCTCAAGTCTTTGACCTCAAGTCCGAGTCAAATCCCAAGTCAAATACAGGCAAGTCCAAGTCGAGTCTCAAGTCACTGGCCTATAAGTCCAAGTCAAGTCCAAGTCTTTAGATTTTTGCAATTTATATGAATTTTAAACTAAACTGTACTTTAAAAAGTCATGGTACATTTATATATGAGTATTTATACAGTATACGAGAGTTCTAGATTAACTTTTTCCTTTTTAAATGTCTTGACAAGATCTTAGTGTGAATCATTACGGTGAAAACTGAAAGAATTCAGATTTAAAAGTGCTTCTCAAGTCTTCTCAAGTCACAAGAGTCAAGTCCCAAGTCACTGACCTTCAAGTCCAAGTCGAGTCTCAAGTCTTAGTCCATTTTATCAAGTCAAGTCTCAAGTCCTAAAAATAGTGACTCAAGTCTGACTAGAGTCCAAGTCACGACTTGCACGTCCCCACCTCTGCTTTATATATTCTCATTTGAATGATTACTCAGGAAGTTGGTTTTGAGTTTTAAAAATGTTATATTCCCAATAATCTCATTCCCAATAATCAATTTGCATATCTCCAGAACAATAACTGCAATATGTTTTATATTTTACAAACGTGAGTGCCCCCAAAAAGTCTCTACAAGGAAACACGCAGCACCAGAAAAGTTGCGCAGTGCACCTTTAAACCTCAATCACAACATTTAGCAGATTTCTGAAAGGTGGACAGAATATTGTCAGAATATTTAAAATAAAAAAATCAAGAAGAAAGGCAGCACTCATATTGACTCATAGATCAGGCAAATATAAGGACCAAAGTGCCAACATAGCCTAAAAACAATATTAAACTAGCTATTTCTTTTCTTTTCTGCATGACTTTTGGGTTGAACCTCAGCGGGTAAAGTGCACATTTGAGTTCACATTGGAATAACTGATGATACAGCCTATTTTCAAATTTGATATTCATGTATGCATTTTTTCTGTTAAGGATGAAGTTCAGGAAGGTTTCACATGTAATAAATTCTGATGGAGACAAGAACAGGCACCATTCACTCACCCATTAAACCATCAATCACCGTCAGCTGATTCACCAATTCTTACAAGGCCAATTTGCATGGGCAGTGAGAGTAAGCCCAAAAGCCTATAATTTATGTCTAGGTGGTCATCTCTTTGTCTCCATACATTATTTCCCATCTTAAACGAGACAATAAATCCTCCACAGACTGTAATATAATCTCTTAATCAGCGCCTTTGTCTTTGAGTCTGTGATATTGTTGTTTTCGCCATGTTCCCACGAGTCACTTTGAAACATATCCGCGCAATAATCACGCACTTTTAACGACTGGGGAATTAGTAAACGCACATAAGCGAATTAATGTATGGAGATGAGCTGTGGGTCTGCAGCAGTTGATCCCCGGGCGGAAGCATATGCGGCTAATCACCACTGTCTTCTTGGATTCAGTCAGAGGCACGCAATAAACAACCTGGTGCCAGCTCCCCCTACGCTTTCCCTTAATCTGCGTTTCAACTGGGCTCCGGTTCTCTGTCGTAAAAACATGTGAAAGTCAATCTAGGCACCCAGACACCAACACGCTAAAGCCCCATAGGATTTACACCGCAATATGAGTGTCTTAAGAGTTGCGTGAAGACAGACAGAACAAAGGGCCAGCAGGCTTGGATGTGTAATATTGGGATGGTGTCATAAAAAGAAAAAAAGTATTTAAAAGTTTCAGTAACTTGTGCTTTTACACAGTGGAGAAAGCTGCATCTTGCAAGACTTATATTGGCCTATACAGACAACCCTTGGATTATGCCGCCACCTGCTGGACAAAATTAATAATACACTATTCTGTAAATTCAAACTGCAACTTAAAAACACACATTTTACAAGGTTATATTTTAGGCTTTAACATCACTTAAAGATCAAATTGGTTTGTGGCTAAAATTCCTGGTGTAAAGGTGCACTGTGTAACTTGATAAGGGGTTGCCACCTACTTAAATATGTTGTTATTGCTTTGCCAAGAATGCTACAACGTATGGCACCAACTGTGGAGACGCAATTAATTTAATTTATTTAGCGACATACAAGCCTGTAATTGAACAAAATGCAAGCTACATAACTGAAGTATAATGCCAGATAAGTGTAATATTATAGTGTGGTCCTCTGAGTAGAAGTCTGCAGCCAGACGCTTGAAAATAGACCTATAAATATGCCTACCCATTCCACGAAATTATATTTTTAGACGTAGGATACTTACAAATAAAAATGCCTGATTATTTACAAAGAAATAAAACGATTTTTGTTTCGGTGAAAGAGGGAAATTTGAACCCAACATGGCAACCCCGCTCTCTTCAAACAGCCCACTGCGCATGCTCTGTTGCTTGTGCACTTGCATGGGTCGACAGGACATTTGTTTAGCATCTTTTTCATCTATAAAACAATAAATTATGGCGGGGAAAAAGGCTCTGGTGATCCTGTCTAATGGTGCAGAGGAGATGGAGACGGTTATTCCAACGGATGTGATGCGTAGAGCCGGGGTTTGTGTATTTTATAAGTTTTAGCAGGTAGTTAGCTAGGTAGAGTTGCGTAAATTCAGGTTAAAATGAATGACTTTCATTTGCAAGGTGATGTCTGTATGCTTCCACTGCTTGTAAATACACATATACCCTTCCCTAACCCACGGGTCTTGAACTGAAGTTATTGAAGTTATAACTGCGCAATAGTAGCAGTTAGCCTAAATGTCAAAGTTCACTGTCCATGCAACTATCAAATTAAAACTTGGCAGAATTGACGAAACACGTCTGCCTTTATTCATGTATTTGCAGATTGCAGTGACTGTTGCAGGACTGACTGGTAAAGAGCCAGTCACGTGCAGCAGGAATGTAGTCATCTGTCCTGATGCCAGTCTGGAGGAGGCCAGCAAACAGGTACATTTCTATACATTTCCCCCATAACTTAAAACCACAATTTCACAACACTTAATCTTCAGCAAAAGTTAGCCATGGTTTGCAAGCTTATAGTCTACAACAATATAATGGCTATGTTCTTGGCCAAAGTGAACAAAACTTTCTGGTGTCATACTTTCACTATGAGATTTCAGAGAAATCATTTCTAAATAGAAATCCCCTGATGATAACTAAAATGGCCACTAGTACTACGCCATTCGCAAGTGATATTTCCACAGACTTGTGTGAAATTATTCACTGTGATATTCATACTCCCACAAGAAGCTGTGCACAATAAAAACAGAAGAATTAGATGTAGCCAATTTTTTTTCAACATAAACTTTTTTCATTTATAAAAACATAGCCAAAATATTGTATAAAAGGCCTAGATGTTTTATCAACACTCATTCACCCTTTGTTCATATACCTTACATGTTTGTTCTTACAGGGTCCTTATGATGTGGTGCTTCTTCCTGGAGGGATGCCTGGGGCCCAGAACCTCGCTGAGGTGAGTCACAGTCTCTGAATAAATGTTCATAGTTACTTGCAAGTTTGACAAAATAGTCTTGTTAAGTATTTAGTTAATTAATTATTAAGTGATGCCCATGGCTGGAGATATGACTATAAACATGTTTTTTTGACTATCTCATCTTCAAGATAATAATATTAATATTTAGCAAATCACAAAATCACAACAAAGAGTTTGCACAAACCTTGATCATTTTTGTATAATTAAAACAGGCATTCATACAAGTGCTTAATCATGACTTACTGCCTTGGTCAGGCAGGTGCTGTGCGGTTTTGCTTTATCATGACATAAATTAGATCATGGTGATTACTGTGAGGTTTCTTTTCGCACAGCTTTTCTCAGCAGCCTTGGTCATCTATCACTTTGATTTCTGTAGCCCATGTCCATATGCTTTGAGAATGATTCAGCAGACATCTGTGTGCTCTGTGCTCTGTTCAGTCTCCTGCTGTGAAAGAGGTGCTGAAGGAGCAGGACGGGAGAAAAGGCCTGATCGCAGCCATCTGTGCAGGTGAGCCTTTGCATATAAAGTGTTTTTTCATACATTTTAATATGGTTATAATTTCAACTTTTAAACTCTAGGACCATATGAAAATTGTGTTAAAAGTACTGCGATTACATTTGCAATTTATTTATTTTTTATTTCAAAGTAGTGTGGTCACAATACCAAAATTTAAAATTAAGGAAAAGACTTGACTTGAAAAGACTTCATACCAATTTTGATACCACAACAAAGATAAATACATTTTTTTTAATACAAGGAAATGTTTACTACAAACCAAAAGATCAAGAACAGATCATTCTAAAATTACAAAGGTCCAACTTCATTTTCTTCAAAATTTATACCTGAGTAACAAACCTAGAGCTGAATAAAAACATATATTTTGTAGAGGTCTAAACTACAGAGTTGGCAGGTTATATGATAATAACAAAAAACTTAAATTGCTGTGTCTAACAAAAAAAAAACCTGCTTATGATGTATTATATATTTCAACAGTACTGAATGCTTTGATGTTGTAGCCTATGTTCCTCCATGACCTGTTCTGGCAGTGAAAACAGTCCATTTCTTGGCAGATTTGATGTAGTGACATTTATCTCTGACATTGGGTGCTGTGAGCGAGCTTTGGAAGGACAGTGTGAACAGTGAAACAGAACAATGCAGCAAAGTGGATTGAAGGGTGTCCTAGAAATGGCTGTATCCTCACAGGACTATAGGCCTAATGATCCTGCAGCATACAAGCTGTTCTGAGACTGGTTATTAATCCTGACAACAGACAAATTATATTAATATTGGTTTGTGGTAAATGAGCTTTTAATGATAATTCAAAGTAAATAAGTGTCTTTAGTGGTACAATACCTTGTTTTATATGATAACTTTTTTTAAAAAGAGGAGGTATTATGAAAAATTTACTTTTTGTAATTTTTTACCATTTGATAACATTGTTCCCTCATCAAAACATGCACGAAGTGGCTTTATTCCATCCATGGATGTTTGAGTAAACTTGTGATCGCTCCTGGGCCCTATTCAAACCCTCCTTACGGTTAGCAGTACGAGTATGAGTACTATGCTCAGCACACATGTAAGCCCTGCTCCTGCGCAGCCATTTTTCATAAATACCTTAAATTACATATTGTGTATTTATTTTTCAAGGGAGTTTCTATATTAAAATCAATTTGATCAAATGTATTGTGTGCTTGATGATATACCTTCACACCTTAGAAGTGTCAGATCTAGATGAGCAGATTTTGAACAAATGTGAGTAAATGACTTTGGGGCATTTTCCAGAGAAAAATCATCCCTAATAGTTATGCCTCTAGATTCTGTGACCACCAGGCCATTTTAGCATTTTCCCCATCACAGAAAGATGATCTTGATTGATTTTGTCTCAGGTTTCAGCCTCCTCCCTATCTCCCTGTTCGACTGTGGTTCTCATAAGTCTCCCCTGTCTCCTTTGGGTGCTGTGTTACCCGGCAGTCTGCTCTCTGTGCAGGGAAAGTGTAATCTAGAGACTGTTTGGGAAGGCAGCCAAGACGTCAGATCAATAACTTTCTATTTATTAACAGTTTTTGGATGAGCTCACTGCAGTGCTGCGAGGACAGAGCCGAAGAATAATGCAGCAGTCAGTGTTTTCTCTTTCTCACTTTGCTCTTTTCAGCACTGTCTTTGGAGGTTAAAACGTGGAGTGGTATTAGAAAGCAAAGATAGAAAATTTAACTTTGCTTTTGTCACAGTACAGTAAGGAAACTGTTTAGAAATGCATATGGAATTTTAATAGGTCATTGATGGTGTTGACAAGATTTATTGCAGTCTAATCTAAATTGCAATTTCAGTGGTCACAATTAGCAAATGGCAGACACTTACTTTAGTAGAATTTCCTTTGCAAATAACAAAAAAATCCTCTTATTATCTAAAAATATGGCCAATACCCTAGTTTTTGATTTCTGCAAACATGTTCTAAAATGTAAGGGATTCTTGCAATGGCTTAGCTGTTCATATTTCAGTCTTTTTTGCCAGTGTTCCTAGATTTAAAACATGAACTTAAAACACGATCCTACTATTGAAACATAAATTGGAAATCTAATCTCAGTTACAATACTGCTCAACGAAATCTCAGTTAGATATGTTTTCAAAATGATTCAGCTATGATATAATTTGCTAAAGTGTTTTATGAAATGGCAAACACAGTGCATTGTTTATGCATTTGTTGTCACCTCTCACACAATGTAATGTGACACTTGCCCTTCAGTTTATAATATTGCATCATATCCATTTTTTCAGCTATAATAACAGTCTGTTTTGTTCTACCCTTGACCCTCTTAAGTGCTCAGAAAAACAGACCTAAATGAGCTAAATACAGCCTCCTCCTGTGGTGCTGATGTTAAATGGAGCTTAAAGATCTGTTCCCTCCACAGGTCCCACAGCTCTTCTGGCTCACGGCATCGGGTTCGGAAGCACGGTCACCACTCACCCCGGCATGAAGGAGAAGATGATGGTCGGAGGTAAGAATAAAAAAGGATATCATAAACAGACTTATGTGGTTTTACCTTACATTGTTTATATTGGATTACATTAGAACATAATACTAATTATACTATATATACATAACACTGATTATACTATTAGTTATAAAACCATTAGCTCAAAATATATGTATGAAGGTATACTTTCTGACACTTATTTATTGTGCAGTTATTCAGTTACAGGTGTTTTTCCAACCCAAAAAAATACCTTGAAAAACATTTTACTATGAGCGGGGTCAGTTCTCTATAGATCTTTAACTTGACTTGGTGGCGTCGCCTCCATGGAGAAGATGGATATGTTTAATTCCATACTGTAAGACAAACAAGGCACTGCCACCAGAAAAGTTACATAGTACATCTTTAACCAATGCAACTTTTAAAATATCTCTCCACACTTAATTATTCATTACATAAAACCTCTTCTAATCTAGCTCATTCAGTATAAAATGACAAGAGACTGAACATTGGTAATTTGGTAATGTCTTGCATTTACATAGTAGAGACAGCAGATGGTGCTGTGCTAACTTAGTTTTAGAGGAAGAATCTTGTCATTATGCAGCAGAGGAGAGCACAGCACAGAGGAGGAGACAGATGCGGAAATTTGACAGAACATGCTAGAAGTAGGTCACCTTAAAGATTGATAGGTGATCTAAGTGCATAGGGTTGAGTGAGTGAGTGATCCAATCGATTATGTCATATTGCAAACATTGTATGGTTTTCTTCTTTTTTTCCCCCTCTAAGATCACTATAAATATTCTGAAGCCCGTGTTCAGAAGGATGGACATTACATCACCAGCCGTGGGCCAGGAACCAGTTTTGAGTTTGCTCTCACCATCGTCGAAGAACTTATGGGGGCTGAAGTTGCAGCTCAAGTCAAAGCTCCTCTCCTGGTGAAAGACTGAGTGGAATGATGATACTACTTAGACTAATACATACTGTACTTTGCACTTGCCCGGCAGACTTCAACGCAGACACTTCTAATCCATTATAGCTGGCACAAATAGTCAATGTCACTTGTGCCATATTGCTATTCCAGGGACTTATGATGCTACTTTGTCTTGCTAAGTGAGACATTAAAGGTGCCCTTGATGTCAAAAAGTGGATGGATGAGAATGTAAAGCTTTTGAAATGGTTATATATTTTGGTTCATATGCCCTTTCCAATGACTATGTGAGTGATCTATATTCATTTACTGATTAAATTTCTTGTTTATGGTCATTAAAGCATTTAAAAGGTAAAGGTCTGTCTTTTGTGTTGTCTTCATTTTAGAGGTCATGGTGACTTTCCCTGCCTGCAGTGGTTGGTTGCTTGTTGATACCTAAATATAGGCTGCTAAATGCAATGTACTGTGAGATCCTGGGAGAACGCGGGAAGCTGAAACCGAACTTATTGACAAATGCCCCGACCAATCAGAAGCCTCGGTCTGGCTGCAGTTGTGCCAAACTTGGCCAATGCGCGCACGGCCGCAGCCAGAGGGGCGGGGCGCAGTTGCAACGCGTGGTGGGTCTGACGAGCAACAAAATCCAGAGGGTTTTGACAGTGAAAGGAAGCAGTGTATCGCCATAAGGTAGGACATTTTGGCTGTTTGTGTTAACTAAAAGTGGCAGGTGTTATGTCCACGCGCTTGTCTGCTGTAATTGATCTTTCTATCATTCAAACATACTGTTCTTTTTCGCATTGTACGCAACCAGACGACCAGCAGATCCTAACCATTTTAAATTGACATGAGATGTTTTAGTATGATCAAGCAGCATTTTATCTGATGTTACTCTGACTATATTATGTCAATTGTATGTTTAGCATTCGTGAGAGAGGCTATCATCATAAGTTCCTCGCTAACCATGTTGTTGTAATGGACTGACTCGTCTCAGATTGGCCAGGCAGTCTGTCGTTAGCTAAATATGACAGTATAAACATATGCATATTAATAATAAGCGCCCACTGATTTGGGAGACAAATACGAGGGTGGACGATCCGCATTGGTACGAGTGGGATGACAGCGCTGCAGATGTGAAGCGACGAGAAGATCCAGGGAGCTGTCCACTCTCAGCGCCGCAGTCAGGGATGTCTCTGCGGCTAACAGTGCGCCAGAGGCCGGGTGCACTCCCCCAGAAGACCCGAAACATAAACCTGTAAGCGGAGCTGTGTCAGAGGGGCATACACTATTAATACTATGATAATAAATCTATTATAACCCATGGAAAGGAGCATTAAAGATGTGGTGTTCATGATTTGGGGGTTATGCCGAGATTGAGTAAACCATAGCACCTGGCACCCCGTTTTACGCAGTCTGCTGAGTTGGGCAGCTCTGAGCTAACAGGTTGCCCAAGTTGTCGCAGGGATTAGAAATGGTCTGAAGTCAGAACAGTCGATCTGAACATCAATATTTGCTTTCATATAGAATGCACACAGCGTCTCTTTGTATTGTTTAGTTGATTGCATATTCCTTTAGATTTCCAAGTTTAATAGACTACAAAATGTTATGTCAAAAGGCTTAAAATAGAGGATGGTTGGTATAGCATATTTTTTACTTCAGATAAATGTCAATCATTTTAGCTGAAATGCAGTTATTTTGTTCTTTTAGTATAGTTCTACTACGGAAAGGAAAGTGATGCGTAATGTCTGTTTGCATTTTTAGTCATTGTGTGCTTTTGTTTTGAGATGATCAGGCAAAAGCGGGCTTGGGTAGAGATGAATCACTGTGGCCATCTCTAGGGACATCCCCAAAGAAGATAAGATGATATATTACTACACAAAGCAAGCATAGGATCTAGTTGTAATTACTTAACAAGATTGTTTTGTAAGATCATTTTGCAGTTTCAAGTAAAATAGAAAGTGAGTTGCATAAACTAAAACTGTGGATTACTTGCTCAATGTGATGTGTTAATTTTAAATCTGCAGGTCATTATTTGAATGCCAGATTTAATGTTGTAGCCAAATGATCATGCATGTATTAATGATGCATATTTGAAAAGGATTTAGCGGCATATGTTGAAATGAGAGATAGCACTAAAGTAAGAAGATTAATCAGTCAACCTACAGATGCACTTGCCACTTTGCACTTTTACAGGAAGATCTCGAGGTGTTACTTCATGTTGGTCATGTTGCAGTGCAGAGAGCTGCATTAGTCATTTCGAGTAGAAGAGGGTGTATTTTGTACTATTGGGAAATGGTTGTACTCATGCTGAGCAAAGCAGAAGTAATATAAGTGTCAATGGTCATGCGACGACTTTTCTGCGAATTTACTGCAACATGAAAGTGACCTTTAATAATGTCTGTAATGAAAGCCAGTATTGTAATGTATAAATGTAATAAATATGTTACAGCATTCAAGTAAGTCAGTGTGAATTAAAATGACCTACAGACTGAAACTGAGTCGATCCATTTCTGCCTCTTTGAAGTTCATGAATGACAACGGTATATGTAGTAAAACATTATTTATGAGACCTCTGAGCCAGTAGTTTAAACATGGCCGTAAACTAGAATTCAACAAAAATCTCTGCCTAATACCTGCTCCAACTGGAGGTCTGTGTTTTCTTTCATAGAAGTCCAATTGTAGTTTGTCAGTGAACACTTCTGCATATTGGTGATGTAAGTGGCATTAATATTATTCTCCCAAAGGTTATAATGCAAACATGCCTTCTATAAGAGAATACATTGGTGATGGAAGTGGCATTGCATTCCTCTCCATGCTGGTCTCATTATGGCTGTGCACCTGTTTACTGCAGTTGTTTTGGCTCCTGGTGAATTTTTATGGCGAGTTGTTTGCCCTTTAACAGCCCATAGCGTTTTAGCCTGTCCACTGCTTGTCATTTGGAGACAGCATCAGCCCATTATGGTAGATGTGCCAAAAGCTGAACATCTTGAGATGAAATGAGTGAAGAATTGAAATGTCAGACTTGGATGGAGTTTGGTGGCAGCTGTGGAGCACTTAATGCCGTGTTTTGCAGTCGGATATTTCTGGAATGTTAACAATTTGCACTGTTGCACGTAACATGTTAGAATTATTCTGCTCGAGCAGCCGTACAGTAAAGGGCTGCAGGCTTGGCTCCCTATTTCTGGATGGGGCAGAGGAGAGAGGCACATGCAGGGGGAGGGGGCTCTGGGCATTGAGACTGACTCATTGGTTTAGCTAATGATGTAATTAGAGTGGTGCACTTGCATCTCCTGATTAGATCCCTCCTTTGGGCTGACGTTTTGATGGGAAACGCTGCATTTTCTTGCGTTTCATTGGGAAATCAATTTGTAAATGCTATCAGTCAGCTTTGAGGATGTTTTCAAATGCCTTTTTTTTTAGAACTTGGGAATTTTGTGCAAAAGGCTATTTTAATCTGCAAATATGGCGTGATTTTGTGTTATCATTGTTTTGTCTTGTCTAGCCAGGGCTCTGATCTGTATGCACAGATAACAGCTCCTCTCACCGTCTGTTTGAAAGCAGGATGGTCTGGTGCCCTCCTCACAGAAATTATGCCTTTCACTATCCGGTGTGCAAGTGTGGTGTGTCATATGCAGGGCAAATACCTCTCAAATATTCCCTGTACCAATTCAAGTTAGAGTTTCTCCTGTTACAGCTGTTCTCAAGCTTTTGTAATATGTCATTTACCGTGTTTGTTTTCCTCGTATTTGTCTGATTTGTTACTATGTACACCAGTCCCATTCATTACAGTTTGAAGGACTGAAATTGCATCTGGGAGCTGATCTGATTTTAAATATATCTTAGCTAAAGAAAGTGATATAAACAACTTTCAAATACAGTCACTGCTTGTGTTTAGTGTCTACTGCTTGTTGCTGATTGATGAAGCAGGTGACAATCATGCAGTCATGCATGATTGGCAGTCATGTCAGTGAACTCACCACAAAACCTTTTTATATCTCCTCTCTGTAACTACAGTGTGAATCTCCACCATGAGCAGTGAGATACCACAGCAGACATAGGGCAGGACAGGCTGTAAAAGTCTTAAAGTCACACTATGGTCTAAGGCCTTTACCTGAAATGTTCCACAGTATGGCATCAAACATATATCTCTTCTGTTTCTTAAGTTATGCTAAAATATCTTGAACAACACATTCATACTGGGATACCTCTTCGATCTAACCTGTTGCTATGGCTTCGCCAGCTGGTTTCCCTGAGTTAAGTTTAATGCCATAGTACGGAACATTCCAGGGAATGCAATAGCATCTCCATGGAGACAAGCAGGTGGAAGACCCTCCATCAGAAAAGTGACATACTGCACCTTTTACATATTCATCACTATCTTTATCGACTTGTTTTTTAGTATTTTCAATGCTATACAAGGCAAAACATGACCATTTGCACTAAGTTTTAATCAGACATTTTGCCTGTAGAGTTGAAAACAATTGATGTAATTGTCCATATGGTGTCTGCACATGATGAGCTAAGAAGAGTGTGTACTTTTAGAAGGCATGCAACTTGACTAGGTAATTTAAGTGTTTCATTTTCAAACACAGAGGTTAATGAAAAATGTTGAACTCAGCCGTTGTCTGTTCCACTTAACTCTTCTCGATTAGCTTGGCTGCTCTGACAATACAACAAGGACTCAAATAAAAATGCAAAGTGGACTGATCTGCTTGTATTATTGATTGTTGGTGAATATTGTGGTGTCAGATTAAAGGTTTTACAGGAACTAAACCAGTGACATGTTAATCAAAGTTTGGAGAACTTACTAAGACTTACTAGGAAGTAGTGGTAAAACTGTCACTCAACACAAAGATATTCACAACAGATGTAACCTTGAGCTCTTGAATTTACTCCACGCAACTTTGCACTCTGTATATTCTTAGACTACTTTCTGGAATTAGTAAGGCTGTTACTGATCGTTTTGGATAGAATCATTATACTGTGCTAAGCTTTGTTCCATTCTGCAATCCAGCTACTTATTCTATAGTCTGCCAATTCATCAAACCCAGATGCAATAGTAAACGAGGGGACAATATACACAAAAATGAATACATTTTTAGTTTTATTAAAATGTGCCCAAAATTTTGAGGTTGTGGACTGAGTGTTAACTGCTAAAGTGCAAAAATACAATATTAATTTTGCAGCATAGTTTTTATCTTAGTGTCTGGGGTGAGGGAAGTCTGGGAGTCCCTGCTTAGACTGCTGCTGGGTTGTTTTATTGTTTTTTTCCATTTACTTGAATAATTGCGGCCATTCAAATTGGATTTCCGATTTGAGATCTTGCAGCCCTACTACAGATCAGTGATTCCACCAGTTTTTAACATTAACCCACTGTAGCCTTGTCCATGTTCCACGAATGGAGGCCACAATGATGAACTGCTATAGACCTCACCAGGCTGTCACTGGTCATAATGTATTGGCTGACTGATGTAGTACCTGTGCCTGAGCTGTGACAGCAGAGTGACTCTCATGTAGATTTGGTGAGTAACAGTATCAGGCTAATTCCCCAGACTGTGGTGTTTAGTGAAAACCTGTCAGTGCCGTTCTCTATGTGTGCTAATCCCAGAGCGGCCCACTGACTGCACTAAAACTCTAATGGCCTTTTCCACAGTAGCCCCCAGAGGCCTTCACTCAGCTCAATACAAGCT